TTGTTTACCTTTGCTATGTGTACTGAGCCACCATCCACCCCTCCTCTTCCTCCTCTACATACCTGTGCTATGTGCGCTGAGCCCCCGCCCAACCCTCTTTCTTCATCCTATACATCTACCTGTTCTATGTGCGCTGAGCCCCCACCCAACCCTCCTCTTCATCCTATACATCTACCTGTGCTATGTGCACTGAGCCCCCACCCAACTCTCCTCTTCTTCTCCTATATGTTTACCTATGCTATGTGCACTGAGCCCCCATTCACCCCTCCTCTTCCTCCTATACATACCTGTGCTATGTGCACTAAGCCCCCACCCAAACCTCCTCTTCATCCTATACATCTACCTGTGATATGTGCACTGAGCCCCCATCCATCCTTCATCTTCCTCCTATATGTTTTCCTGTGATATGTGCACTAAGCCCCTATCTCTTTTCCTCTTCCTCCTATATGTCTACCTGTGCTATGTGCACTGAGCCCCCATCCATAATCCTCTTCCTCCTATATGTCTACCTGTGAAATGTGCATTGAGCCCCCATCTCTACTCCTCTTCCTCCTATATGTCTACTTGTGAAATGTGCATTGAGCCCCCATCTCTACTCCTCTTCCTCCTATATGTCTACCTGTGAAATGTGCACTGAGCCCCCACCCACCCCTCCTCTTCCTCTCTATATGTCTACCTCTCCTCCATCTATATCTGTTCTCTCCTCCTCATCTCTCCTCCTCTTCCATCTATATGTCTACCTGTAAAATGTGCACTGAGCCCCCAAACATCCCTTCTATTCCTCCTATATGTCTACCTGTGCTATGTGCACTGAGCCCTCATTGATCCCTCCTCTTCCTCCTATATGTCTACTTGTGCTATGTGCACTAAATCCCTCCTCCTTCTCCTATACATCTACCTGTTCTATGTGCACTGAGCCCCCACCCCATCCTTCCTCTTACTCCTGTATGTTTACCTGTGATATGTGTATTGAGCCCATAGTCCCCCCCCCTCTCTCCTCATATATGTCTGCCTGTCCTATATGCACTAAACCCCCATCCATTCTCCTCTTCCTCCTATACATCTGCCTGTTCTGTATGCACTGAGCCCCTTTCCCCCCTCCTCTTCCTCCTATATGTCTACCTGTGCTATGTGCACTAAGCCCCCACCCATTCCTCCTCTTCCTCCTATACATCTACCTGTGCTATGTGCACTAAACCCCCATCCATTCTCCTCTTCCTCCTTTCTATCTACCTTTGATATCTGCACTGAGCCCTCATCCATCCCTCCTCTTCCTCCTATACATCTACCTGTGCTATGTGCACTGAGCCCCCACCCACCCCTCCTCTTCCTATTATATGTGTACCTGTAATATGTGTACTGAGTCCCCACCCACCCCTCCTCTTCCTCCTATATATCTAACTTTGATATGTGCACTGAGCCCCCATCCACCCTATTATTATTATTATACAGTATTTATAAAGCGCCAATAGTTCGCTCAGCGCTGTACATTACAAAGGGGGACAGAACATGTGACAGAACAATACCAATACAATGCAAAACATGAGGGGATTGAGGGCCCTGCTCTTTCGAGCTTACAATCTAGGAGGGAGGGGATGGTAGCACTACACTTCCTCCTATACATACCTGTGCTATGTGGACTGAGCCCCCACCCCTCCTCTTCCTCTTATATGTGTACCTGTAATATGTGCACTGAGCCCCCACCCACCCCTCCTCTTCCTCCTATATATCTACCTGTGATATGTGCACTGAGCCCCCATCCACCCTCCACCTCCTCCCATACATCTACCTGTGATATGTGCACTAAGCCCCCATCCATCATCCTCTTCCTCCTATATGTCTACCTGTGTTATGTGCAATGGGGTTGACTTTGCAAACACTGTAACTAACACAACTCAACGAAATTTCTTAGAGTGACTGAGGGTCACATAAGGTAGAACTTCAGAGGAGATGAAAAGGATTTGGCGTTCAGTGAATATTCCTAAAATGTATCACTAATCTAAAGTGCATCTACTTGATCATGATCTCTGTTGATTGCAAACTACAGCAAAAAGCATGGGGGGGGGGGGGGGAATTAACATTATAATGTGTGTGTGTGTTAATCTATACAATAAATATGTATATGTCTTATTCTTCTCATCTGTGTAGTTGATAAAGGGAAAATCCTCCAACAGGAGAAGTTTTAGATGCCCAGCAACCAATTAGAATCTTTGCTTTATATTGAACTCTAGACTATAGAAATGGCAGATGGAAGCTGATTGGTAGTTAGTTGAAGATATCATTAGAGCACACTTTTTATACATAAAGCGTGTACATATATTCGCCAACACTATCTACTTCATGAAAATATCTAATAAATAGCAAGAGTTGCCTTAAGATCATTGGACTTTGCAGCCTGAAACTTTCACAGTATAATGTGCTCTGTGACAGACTCTGACCCTTTCAGCAAAACAAGTGTCTGCCTATGATTCAGAACAGCAAGGTTACCCTTCGCTACCCCAGGCTTCATTTATTACTGATGCAAAGGATAAACTATGTTTCTGATCTCTACGATGTCCCTCTGGGGCTCATAGAAGTTCACTGTCACTGTCATCACAGCACATGTGGGGTCGGGGAAAAAGAAAGTTGAAAAGTATTAGATATAAAAGAGGTATATATAACAAATAGTGAAACAAACAAATAATAAAATGTCAGATTTAATTTGCGTGATAGAAATGGACGGTTCTGTATAAAAACATGATTATATTTTCTGTATGACCCCCCAAAAGTAACCTTACCGATGTGATCATAGTAGAGATAACAGAGATCAATAGCTTCCGCCCAAATCCAGCTCGTACCAACGTCATGTAGGAAGGTCTGTCTACACACAGGCCGATTTATTGAGCGATTTTCACTCGGAGAACATTCTGTTTTCTAGTTCGTTTGCCTCTAATCAGGTCAACACATGCCAGGATATGAGTCTCTCCTGTAATAAATGTGCCCCAATATGTAGACTTATTTTTTTTATTAACCGTACACATAACGACAAATGATTGACTGATCATAGAGCTGAGCATTTCTAACGGTCTATCATTACGAAAATAATTCAGCTCAGAAAAGATCAATTTGGTGGAATTTATCTGTTTTTAACCAGGACTGATGGTTGATTTTTTTATTCAAAATCAATTGTTGGGTACTTAAACTTTCTGTTCAATGTGATCATTTTCTGAATTATAAAATAGGGAATTCTTGAAAATAATGATTATATCAAACGATTTAATCCTTAATCGAAACATTAAGCTGGCCATACACTATACAATTTGATTGGGCAGTCACCTTTAGATCTTCCATCAAAATCGAAACATTAAGCTGGCCATACACTATACAATTTGATTGGGCAGTCACCTTTAGATCTTCCATCAACTATGCAGTGCTTGCCTGATTGGATACAAATTGAATGGATTGTTTAGGTGTGCCTTTATGTTACATAACTTTGGTTTAAGGAGATTGTACAGAGAATGTACAGTATGATTGTATGGTGTATGGCCAGCTTAGGCTACTTGTACATGGGTGTATGAATTTATGCTTTGCTAGAAGTTTGCATAAAAATGCCTCTAATTTCATGCATGTAGGAGCATTTTCAAAAACGCTCACAAAAAGCTGTTAGGAGCATTTTAGTAACATTTAGTAGCGTTCAGTGTCTTTTTCTGCCAGAAAAACACTCCTATAAACTCTACAAAAACATTTTTTTTTTTTCTGCTTCTAAACGCTGAAGCCTGAAAAACACTTCTAGCATAAAATATTGTGCATGGATACTTATGTGCGCCCGTTTATGCGCACATGCATATGGTAATTAGAAGCACAGGCATAAGCTCATTCTATTGGCTAGAATAGTTATTTTCTCTAACCACTGGAATAAATTGACATACATGTGTAGAAGGTGCAAACAGGTGTAAATGACACTAAAATACTTCTCTCTGAATGCAGGTTTGGAGCATTTATTTACGCTGCTGAACACACCTGTAATGACACAATAGGAGTTATTTACTAAAATTGGAGGGTGCAAAATCTGGTGCAGGTGTGCATAGAAACCAATCAGCTTCCAGGTTTTATGATCAAAGCTTAAATGAGCAAGCTGAAGTTAGAAGCTGATTGGCTGCCATGCACAGCTGCACCAGATTCTGAGTGCTCCAGTTTTAGTAAATCTCCTCCAATGTGCATATGCACACTAGATAACCTACAGCTACGGTCAGAGGCATTAAAAAAAAAAAAAAAAAAAAAACGCAAAACACAAAGCAGCATTTTTCTGCCCCTGTGCTTCAGGCCTAATAAGGGTGGCTATATACATCACATCCTGACTGTACAATCCATGTACAATCTCATTTACTTTTACCAAACCTATGCAATATAAATACAAACCTATACAATCCAATCCATTTCTATCCTCTTGCACAGACCCTTGGAGTTGTTGGTAGATCTAAAGGAGATTGTACAATCTGATTGTATAGTGTATGGCCAGCTTTACAGCTTGCACATCAAGATTTGTAGATTTTGGACTGTGGAGTTATATGCTTTTACAACTATAGTTTTATTTATTTATTTTATTACAGGTACCTATATAGCGCCATCAATTTATGCAGCACTTTACATCTATGCAGGGGCGGACTGACCATTTGGACACTCGGGCACTGCCCGAGGGCCCGGGGTCAGTAGGGGGCCCCATGAGATGCCCCTGGTACCTTTTTCATAGGCTTTTTTGAGTTGGGCAAGGACACAGGGGCCCCATGATCCCCTATTGCCCCGGGGGCCCCATGAGTTGTCAGTCCGCCCCTGCATCTATGTATTGTACATTCACATCAGTCCCCGCCCTGAAGGAGCATACAATCTACAGTCCCTAACTTACATTCATACATACAAATACTAGGGCCAATTTAGACAGGATCCAATTAATCTATCAGCATGTGTTTGGAGTTTTTGACTTTTGTTTACTAATTGTAATCTACCCATTTGTATTTCAGAGGATGAGAGCTCATTGGACAATAGTTTTCTTAGCTCTGCATCCAAGAGGGCCAGGACAGCCTACACCAACTCCCAGCTGGTAGAACTGGAGAAAGAATTCCATTTTAATCGCTATCTGTGCCGCCCTAGGAGGCTGGAGATGGCCAAACTACTGAACCTGTCAGAGAGGCAAATCAAGATCTGGTTCCAGAACAGGAGGATGAAGTACAAGAAGGACCACAAAGGGAAAGGAGGAGCTTTGTCTCCTGGGGGGCAGTCCCCCAGCAGAAGTCCATCATTGGTCCCTTACTCCAGCGGGCTCCCCCTAGAGGACGAAAATGGCTATGACGTGCCCATGCCTAATGAGTTTAATAAGAGCCCTGGGAACATGTATGGTTTAACTGCTTACTCAGCACCTCTCTTTGACAACCCTCCAGCCCAGAAACGATATGGGACCCAGTCTTTAGCCTCTGAGTACGACCACCCTTCTCTGCATGGGGATATAGGCTATGATAGCCCTGGTCTGCAGGGAAGCCAGAGCTACCTTGGAGGGAGTTACCTGGAAAATGTGCCTGGAAACTGTTCCATGTTCAATCTGCCCCATCCTTCATCAGATAACATGGACTACAGCTGTGCAGCACAGACACCCAGCAAACACCATCTTGGTCCCTGTGACCCTCATCCCACCTACACAGACTTAAACATTCATCCTGTGCCTCAGGGGGTGTTCCCAGGAGCCTCCTGTGCTGACACATCTGTAGAATGCTCTACTCTTTGAAACATAAGGGCAATTTATTCTGGCCCATTATGTCATTAAGTAGGGAAAAAAAAACTATACATGTAAACCCACCAACATGCCTCAGCTTCCTACATCTCATATGTATTTACTAAGCTATGCACAATACAGGGACTATGCATGGAGTGCAGACAATGCCACATAAGCAACCAATTAGTCTAAACTCTCCCTTACCTCCCCTATAGTAGAAACTCTTAAGCCTGGACATAACTACCAGGGAATGTGAAATCCCACAAAAAAAGTCAGTCTTTGGAAGACTACCCAATTCGTTCTTTCACAGCCCATCCCGAAATTTAGTTCTATTTTATTCTGTATTTATGTAAATCCAGGTTTTGTAATTTCTCAATCTTTTTTAGTAGAAACAAAAAAAGGGAAACCTATATTTATATGCGTTGGCGTTACTCCTGTTTAAATATTTTTTTCTATTTTTGTTAGTTTATTTTATACTTGTCAAGTGTATTTGTTTAATTTATTTTTAGGGAATTAAAGACGGATTTTAGATTTTTTTTTTTCGTTTAAGTAAAATTTGTTCTGTCTTTCAGAGCGATCTGTCTCAGTTTGTCTGTATTTTTAGTAGCTTTGGAATTAACCGTTTGATAAATAAAGAGAATTAAAACCTACGCGCATGATTATTGTCGGTGACATTTTTTTAAAGCAAGTTTATAAAAGTTACCTTAAAGGCAAAAAAAAAAAAATGGATTTTGTAAGTTAGTGTGTTTGGTTGTGTGTGTTTTTTTCTTGCTAGGGGTTGGATTTCACCCCTAATTCACCCCCATTAATCATCTAGACAGGGACAGTTCACATGGCCCCCTAAAGCCCTTTTCATGTTAAGTTAGTATTCAGCTTTGGTACAATCTTGCTTGATCTGTTCCTGCAGTGTTTCCTGATAAACTTCAATATTCCGGATCTCAGGTTTGACTTCCCCAAGCCTTCTATCCCTGATTTTTTATTTTACACGATTTTCTAAGAAACGATTTTCTGAGAAGTGGAATGATTTTACAAGCTGATCGGTCAGAGCTGCTTCTGGATCGTCCTCGGATGGGCTGCTGTATGCTGCAGGAGATCATTTGTTACTATGTAGCTCTCACAGTTTTTAGATACTTTTTGTTTTGTAAATATGTCACAATGAAGCGATTATACATTGAAATGTATCAAATTGTTGAGACGATTATTTTCTGACCTAGTGAGTTTATTAATGCTGTTGAAATCACTGATAAGAAAATAGCAGAGTAGAATTTATGAGAGGATGGAAGATCTATAAATCTTTAGAGACAGGTGTGCAAAAGTATATATACACATAGATAGATAGATAGATAGATAGATAGATAGATCAAATATATTATGGATATTTTTGTAAATATGTAATTATTATTTGTTATAATAATTATAACTTTCTTAATAACAGTAACATAATTGCCTCGTATCTCAGGGTTTTATTTTCACCAATATAACAGAGATACATATAGACATACACATATTTTATACTCCCTTTCTTCACACACGTGTATATATAGACCAGTAAATGCATTTAGTCAATGCATTATCATCATTATATTATAATCATTATTACTACTACAACGTTCATTATTATTATTTTGCATATTTGATATAAGTACAAAAAAAAAACTTTGTCACCTGCAATATACTACCTATGGGTGAATGTAGTTCCCTGGTTGCTGCATCAATAGAGGAGGCATATGATCTCGTGATATATTTTTAAGGTGTGTTTGTTTTATTCTCAGCTTTAAAGAAAACATAGATTATTATTTGTTAAAAAATACAACAACCAAAAAACAAATTCTGTTTTGCTTCTAATTTAGGCTGCCATCAGTGCTAATGGCAAATTACAATTCCAAAGCCCAGATGAAATTGTAGCTCCCAGCTAACTCAATTTCCCTAAGAGGAACAGAAGGCCAGAGACTGTCTCCATGTGGCTGAGATTCCATGATTCGTCTTTGCTGCTCCAACAGTCCTGGGGCTCACAATAACACCCACACAAGGATCCTGGCAGTGCTGAGCTAGGCAGCTCTATATACTGAGAATCCAACCACATATGATCCGGGTCACACAAATGAAAGCAACAGCAGGACATCTTCATGTGAAATGATTAGCTGTATCAGCACTTATCTACTCAATACAACAACAAATTCGTAGAACTGGTAAAAAAAAGCTAAGAAAAAAAGCACATAACCCCCCAAAAACCTAAATAAAATGTGAAAGCAAACAAAAAAGGCAATCAAAAGTAGAAGCATTGCTCATAGAGATCAAGCAAAATAAATTTGTTTCCAGAAAGTATGCAGTGAACCTTATTAGTTTATTCTGGCAACAACTCTACTTTTCTTTTTTTCTTTTTGTTTCCCTTGCTTCAGTTTTATTACACAAATTATTTAATGCAACACTCTGCACCTATCTAATTAATTATCTATCTATCTATCTATCTATCTATCTATCTATCTATCTATCTATCTATCTATCTATCCATCTATCTATCTATCTATCCATCTATCTATGCATCTATCTATCTATCTATCTATCTATCTATCTATCTATCTATCTATCTATCCATCTATGCATCTATCTATCTATCTATCTATCTATCTATCTATCTATCTATCTATCTATCTATCTATCTATCTATCTATCTATCTATCCATTTATGCATCTATCCATCTATCTATCTATCTATCTATCTATCTATCTATCTATCTATCTATCTATCTATCTATCTATCTATCTATCTATCTATCTATCTATCTATCTATCTATCTATCTATCTATCTATCTATCTATCTATCTATCTATCTATCTATCTATCTATCTATTCTATCTATCATATCTATCCATTTCATCTATCCATCTATCTATCTATCTATCTATCTATCTATCTATCTATCTATCTATCTATCTATCTATCTATCTATCATCTGTTTTCCCTTTAAGTCACTGCTTACCTCTACTCTGCCCATAGCCACAGCATGTTTGTGGCAAACTGGTGGCTTTCAAATCACTTTTCAGTTTCAATTGTTTTCTCATTTTCAGTTACTAAAAGTTAGGTGAATTTCATTGGAAACCACCTCAGTGCTACTTGATTTTCATTTTTTTATTGCTTGGTTGCTTTAGCTAGGAAATGCTTGTATCTGGAAGGATACTGGATGAAACAGAATTGCCCTGTGTATGGACAGCAATGCACTTTGAAGTTGCAAGATCTAGGGAGTAATTGTGCCCCATTATCTCACATTGACACATTGCAGTGTCTTTCATTTTGAATAGCACCCCAGTGCACTAAGTGCAATGCATGGAAACACATTATAGTGTGTTGTGGTGCATTGCAGCAAAAAAATTGGTGACATGTAAAAGTGCGATTTTCTTTTTTGCAATGGAAACTCATTGATTTCAATGATTTCCTACCTTAATGCATGACATAACAAGTGCTCCTGCAATAATGCACAACACAAATGTAAATGGGTCCTTATTGTATGCCTAACCACATTTTTTTTTTTTTTGGAGGAGGGGGTTTGAATGGAGAAGGGAAGGGTTAAAACCCCTTATAAAGTTTTTATTGCTGTCTGTATCCCTGTTAGGGCTATCATACACATTGCAATCTGACCATACAACCATTGTACAATCAACTTTGGATTTACCACAACTTTGGATTTTCCTAAACTATCCAATCAGTTTGTGTTCATTCAAGCAGTCCCATGCCCTACATAGTTAGTGGCAGATCTACAGTAAATTGTACAATCAGATTGTAAGGCAGGCCATACATTCATTTTTTTTTTCATTCAACCAGGGGGTTGAATGAAAAAAAAAGAAAGACCCGATTCCCCCATCCATACACTATTGTGGATGAGGGAATCCTTCCTGCTCATCTACTGTGTTCTGACGGCGGGAAGATCTCTCCATCATCAGAATACACTGATCAGTGCTGCTGGTTATATTGGTAGAACCATACAGGCCGGTTGTACAGAGGTTGATCAGTAGATTAACTTTGATACAACCAGCCTGCCAATGGATCGAAATGTGTCCGGTCCCTGCTGAACCAGCTTAATTTTGATTTATGTATGGCCGCCCTAACATGGTGGGGTGAGCTTAAGAGGTATTAATTGTCTATTTGTCCTGGTGACCATTATCACTCACATTTTTCTAGTTGTCACCAGGACAGTAGGTGAGAGTAAATCATCTAATGGCGGCACTTGTTCAAGTGACAACAGTTCACTTGGGAAGATTTCCTCTCACTTCTCTCAGGACAGGAAGTGAAGCAAAATCTTCTGAATGGAACGCAGACAGAAGAAAATAAACTGACAGAGGACTTAACTCTTCCCAACCCTTCGTCTATTCTAGCCAATACTAAGAAGACAAGTTTTGGCTATACACTTGCAATTTAAAGTGGGCCATACATCAGTAACATTTTGATTTTCTAATAGTTAGTGGGGTCAAACTGATGTTCCTTTTTGACTTGGTGACAGGAAAATTCAAAGGAGCATGTTGGAAAATTTTTCTGAAATGAACACATTTCTAAAGGTGATGGCTCCGAGGAAGAGGGTCGCTCTCGAAACACGTCAGCTGTATTTGGCCCTAGGATGGTTCTTATCTAGATGTCGGGGTCCATTGGCCCCCACTGGTCATTGTTCCAAGTGGCCGTCATTTGGTATGCGAATTGTCATCACATGTTTGTGAGTATGTTTTTATCTATACAACAATAAAACTTTTTAATGCGCTAGGCCGGTGCACTCTTGCTTTGTCTTTTTGTATTTCTAAAGCTGGCCATACATTATACCATTTTCTTATTCAATTTCCTTTTGATTTCCCTTCAACTATGTAGTGCAAGGGCCTGCCTGACTACATACAAATTGAAAGTGTTTAAGTTTGACCTCATATTATATGGTTTTGGAAACTTGTACAAGAAAATTGTATATTGTATGGCCAGCCTAACAGTGTATGTGTTTTCATTTGGGAAATTCAAT